GAGCGAGCAGCTGGGCTCTGCCTGGTAGGCGCACAGGGCCTCCCACTCCCGCTGCAGCCGGTTCTTGTCCTCCAGGTGGTCCTCCATGTAGGCCTGGAATGCAAGTGCAGAGTCAGGGGCGCCCCAGGGCTGGGGGCAGGATCCCGGACGCTGGGCGGCCAACACAGGGGGCCCACACTTCACCTGCACGGACGAGGTGGGAGCTGGCTGGCACTGGGCCCAGTAAGGAGGGCATGGACTAGCCAGACGCAGCCGGAGCAGCCAAGGCTCCAGCCAGTTCATTGGTTCAGAGATGTTCGTGGCATGGGAACCACGGTGCTGAGCGGGGCCCTGGGAACACTCAGCCATTGTGAAAACAGGCCTCACTCACCGCAGACCAGATTGGATTGACCACCAAGAGCTGGGACAGGAAGTGCGTCCAGCCAGGACCCAGTGAGTTAGCAGGACGGGAGCAGCCAGGGAGGTACGGCGCCACGTGCTGAAGGGTGAGGGAGGGGCAGGCAGGCACACAGGTGTGTCAGGCAGGGCCTGGGGACAGCCAGTGCCAAGGGCACCGGGGCTCTCAAGTCTGTCCGGGGCGTCCGGGCTCTGAGGGATGGGCTGAGGGAGGTTAGGGAGCAGGTCTGCGTCCACCTCTGCGTGGGACATACAGGAGAGCCCTCGTCTCTACATCAGAGACAGAATAAACACAGAAATATGAAACAGCCGGAGCAATGCCACGGAGGAAGGAAACTGAGACTGTGGCCGGCCTGAAAGCACAGGGCCAAACCAAAAGGTGTTCGTGGCCGCAGGCTGGGAAAGCACCTTGGGAAACAGCGTTCTGCATTGCAAGCCTCATTTTCTCATCCTCCCTCTCAGACAGCCACTAGCCTCCGACAGACAGGGCGCCGCAATCACTAGAAATCGGTCACGCATTACGGGGCAGGGGAGCTCAGACCCGCCCCTCCACAGGCGGCCCCGCTCCGTTTCTGTTTACACAGAAGTCACCTTTCTTTCAATTGCCCACTTTTCTCAATCCTCTGGGGCGATGCAGTCCAGACACAGGCTGGCTCTGAGGTGCTGCAAAGCGTTGGCAAACAGAACAGCACAGCAGATACCTGACCCTCGGCCACTCTGACCCTAACTTTCAGGGCACTGTCTGTTGGCAGTGACACTCGGAGAGGCGCACAGGGAGCCAAGGCCTCCAGACGTTCTTCCCACAGAGACTCCCGAGCCAGCCGCAGTGGTCTGTCCACTCGGGAAGTGACTGTGATTTTAAGGAAAACCAGAACCAGACTGGGTGGCTCTACTGCGCTCAGAGGCACAGCAGTCTCATCCTGTGGTGTCGTGTCCACAAAGTAGAACACACACACGCACACGTGCGTGCACACGTGCACACCGGGCTCCAGGCCTCTGGAGCTCAGGCACCCAGTGTTCACACCCTTCCACATCTGCCCCGACCCCTCTGTCACCCAGCTCAGGTCACCCGGGGGCCAGGGCTCCTGCGTTCCCCACCCCCACCCCCGCTCTGGGCCGTCCGCTCACCCGCACCCACCCCAGTGGACACAGAGGCACAGAAAGAAACTCAAGCCAGACAGTCGGGCTGGTGTCCCACACGTCTCAGTGAAGTTTTGACCACAGCTGACTTGAACTGTTTTCTATTATTCACTCAATTAACACCAACTCTATTCATGTTGGTCTGACTGGTTTGTCTATCGGCACGTGTGAGCAGAGCCAGGACATGGGAGCCGGGGAGGAGCCGCCCTCGGGGAGGCCTGGCCCAGCCGCTGAGGCCCTGCTCCCACAGGTGTGGCTCCGGGAGGCCAGCAGTGGGGCCCCTGCTCCAGTCACTCCGGGAACCAGCAGATGGCTTTTCGCCCAGATGACCGAGACCTGTGACTGTGCACACCTCCTCCGGGCCACACCATGAACCTCAGGAGCTCACCTCCGCTGGGAACAGAAACATAGCAGCTGCTCCAAGGCCCACCCTCCCTGCCAGCTCCTGACCCCGCCACCTCTGCCCACACAGCCCTCGGGTTTCTTCGGGTCGGAAAGACGCAAATTTAAGTGGCACAATCTAGAAAATGTGAACTACAGTCTGCTTTCTTTGGGACAATCATTATGGAATATCTGATGCATGTTTTTTGGGCCAAAGTTACCCTAATAAGGGAGACACTTTTGCCTGGTGTGACACCTAAGTTTGTGCAAACTGACTAGCTTATCTGCAGCCTGAAGTGCGGTGCGTGAGGGTCCCCGGGAAGGAGAGGGCGCTCTGGATGAAGTGCTTCTGCAGTGACTTTTCTCAAGAGTGGTTAACACACAGTTTTACAAATGGATATAAAATGGTTCCTGGCCAAATGATTTTAGATCCTCACTTTTCTTTGGAAAATGTTCTGTTCACAAAATCCATCATGAACGAATGAGCTTCTTTCAATAGAACATGAGGGATTCTAAAATGACGAACCTCGGCGGGTTTAATCTAATCTCATGTTGTCTGCAGGAGGGGCATTAGATGTCACCTTAATTCCTGTAAACGGCAGCTGCTTAAACGCTCACTTTATCTCAGCTCTGGAAGGTGAGATCATGCGCAAGCTCACTGGTGTTCCTAAACGGACGGCAAAAAATAGAAGCGGGGGCTCCGGCAAGCAAGCGGCAGTGTCGGGGGCGGAGACTCTGTTTTCCATTGAGAATTCGGTCACTAAAGACACTCTTGGCTGTATTAACACTGAGATAAAATTCCCACCCTCTCAGCCGTGTTGCTCCAGCAGCCTGCCTCTGCCCGGCTCTGGCCGTCTCGATTTGATCTGTTCTGTGTTTTCCTGTTAATATTTTCGTTCTGGGCGTCACACGAGTGTTGTTCCCACTCGCGTCTTAGGAGCCTTTGCTCTTCACGTTTGTGGATCAGATGCTTTTCTTCTGAGACACGAGAGTGTGTTTCACGTCGTCTGAGGGGAAGCGAGGCCTTGGTCGCGAAAGAAGGTGTTTTAAACAAAACGAAAACTGCCACAGCAACAACGCTAGGCGGCCCCTTCTCTTCAAGGGTGTGGGAACAGGTGCGGCGATCCTGCCCAGACACCACCAGTCCTGGAATAATCAGGGATGTTAACGGGGAATTTAAACACCACGCACATTCCTCCCCCAGACCGTAGGTGTTCAAAAAGCTGACGTCTAAAATCCTTTGTGTGTGTACGTGGGGTGGGTGTGGGGGGGCCGCAGGAGGGCTTAATTAAAAAAAAAACTAACTTTTTCTTCCATAACTAGCGCACACAGGAAAGAACAGGAGATGAACGTGTGCAGGATGAAAACAAAGGCCGCTGATAACTCCCCAGACGAGCTAACCGTAAGGCCGCGGTGAAGCCCCCTCTCCCGGCACATACGTGGGCTACTTCCTTTTTGTTTTTCTGCTCTGAAAATGGCTGCTTAAGCTTTGGATGACTCAGCATGGTAGCATTTTCTTATTTAAGTTGAAAAGCTGCTGACATGAGGCTTGCATCCTACCCACAGGGAAACCAAGGCCTACGGAAGTTAAGCAACGAGCCCCAAGCACCCGCAGCCAGGGCGCCCGTGGCTCGGATCCAGTGTGCACAGTGCGCCAGTGTCATCCTGCCCCCGCACGGCCCCTCTCCCTGCACGGCCCCTTCAGCTCCTCACAGGGCACCCAGGCCTGCATCCCTGGTTACAATACTGCCAGCTTCAAAAGACACCAGCGGTGTCCAGAGCAGCACTGTCCTTTGTCCAAGCTTCATTTCACTAACCTACCACTCTGTCCCAGGGAGACTCCTGTTGCAGCCCTTCCCCCGTCACCGTCGCTCCCTATGCCTCGTTCGCGCTGATCCTCCCGTGATGACTCTGCCCAGACCTCGAGGTCAGTGCAAACACCACCTCCTCCCTCACACCTGCCACCATCTCTATGACCCTCCCTCCCTGTACCACCCCTCCCAGCACCATTATGGAAACGACCCCTCTGTGACACTGACCCCACTCTGCTTCGCGCTACAGCTGTGAATGTCAAGACCTTCCTCTTCTAGTGAGATGACCTGCCCCAGGGTGGGCCCGTGTCTCATCCACTTCGCACACAGTCAGGATTTGTTGAATGATTGCTCGTAACCTGGAAAATTCTACAAGTAGTCTGCAGTACAGGCAAAAATTGTGTGTTGATGACTGGCATTCTAGAAGCTCTGCCTTCAAGTTTTCTGAGGCTTGGAAGAATTGCTCAAGAAAAGCACTGTGAGGGCCTTGGAGCGTGTCATTAAGAATTTCCTGCTGCCTCTCCCTTTCTGAGCTGTCCAAGGAACACCTTTACAATGCGCGTCAAGTAGGGGCCACGTCCTGATGTTCCCGTGACAACCCCAACGGCACAGCAACAGTTCAGAAAGCTCTTCTCCCAGACTCCCCTGCTCATTAGCCTTCAAGTCCAGGTCTGGTGCTGTCTCCCTGAGATCTCCCAGGCCTTCTGTGGACTCCCGTGCCCCCAGTACGCACCTCTCATCTGGGACACAGTATGTGCTGTCACTAGTGAAACGGGCAGGGTGTTTCTAGGACCTGCCTTCCCCATGGGTTCTGAGCTCCTGGGGGTTAGGGACCGTCTTACTCACCTGCGCTGCCCTGCACAGAAGGGAGCCCTGAGACACGCAGAGCAGAGCCCTGGTTACATGCACTGGACAGGAGTCAACACGTGAAGGGGCCACCACATGCACCCTGGGAACCTCAGCCCCAGGAAGAGCTGGGGCTCAGTGTTGGCTGATTCAATGTGAAGAACTCAGATCAATTACAACAGTGACCCTGGTTCTTTAGGAACATTTGGAAGCATGTCTTTAATCTCGCAGTTTTTCATTACACTCAGCAGTATTAGGGGAGACCGAGGCAGGGGTTCTGAAGAGTCCTGGCTGGGAGGACGCAGCCCTGGTTTCTGCACCCCTGGAATCCGTCAGGGGAACCTGACTGGGGCTGGTTCCTGAGTGGGAAGGTGTCTAGAACATTCCTGAGCTGTGAGCCTTTCCAAGGCCTAGGTTTGACGCACTCACATAAAAGATAACCCCCAGCTCAAACATTTACGGAAAAACGTCCCGAGGTTTCAGAATGTGGGTTTTCCAAGTTTGGAGCCAACGCACACT